TTTTTTTTCTTTTAGACAGTAATGTTTTAAAGAATGGTACAAAAGCTAAATATGATGGTGAGAAGCACGACTGCGATCAGGCTCTACATGGTGTATTACTTGTAATATCATTTAATTACCCATTCTACGACAGCTTCCCTCTTCTACAAGTGTTTTACAAACAAGCTTTCCTTAATATAACCATATGTGGGTCGAGACGACCTGGTGTCAACTATCCCTTTATTCAGATAGCTATCCATAAAGGCTACTATTCTTACGAATGTCTAGGGCAAGCTATACGTACTTATCGTCACTTTAAAGGTTACTTATTCATAAATGATGATATGATTGTCAATTGGTGGATATTACAGAAGATAGATATAACGAAACCATGGCTTAATGAAGACAAACGTACACGAATAGCTGATCCTTGCAAGTCTATCCCACAAGATGGCTGGCCTTGGTGGCAGCATAGTTTAAAAACCTGCGGTAATGCTCTTAATGAGMTTTTTGATGATTATGTTACAAACAAAACTTTACAAACTTTTCTTGATAATAATAATCAGAGTAAGCTTTGCACTTCAAAATGGTCAGATTTTTTTTACGTTCCTGGAGGAGAAACAGCGCTACAATTTGAACAAATTTCTTCTGTTTTCTTCAAGAACAAAGTTTTCCTTGAGATAGCAGTTCCTACTATATTTAACTTTCTCGATAAAAAGGAGAACATAATTCTGCTTGATGGAGTGTATCTCCCTAGTGTCTTTGGTCATCATGATTTTAGTGGTACAACCGGTGCTCATTACTTATGGAAGGTTTATAACTACACAATACCTTTCGTYCAYCCAGTCAAGTTTCGCGATGATCGTCATAATATAAACAAAGACAACTTTTATGTTCAGGTATATTTATATGGTAAAAAGATTGTCGAGAATTGTGCAAAACAAATAGGCAGAAACCCCTAAACACACTAGCACTTATCAAAACTTTAGAGTCTCAGTATTTCGACTTTAATATACCTGTCACGTGATCAGATGTTATGAGTTGCCACAACACTCAATAAATAACATTACTCTATGGTATATTTACTATTTAACGTGAATAACAAGATGCTGCCAACTTAGAGGTACAAAAAGGGCATTTGTACTACTAGTAAATAGCAGATGTAATTCCTGTAAGGTTAGTTTACTCTTGATTGCGTATTTACGAAGAAGTGCGCATTTTTTCTTTGTTTTGGACTATTTTAATAACACCAGATTTCTTCACAGTATGTATTGCACAGTATGTTTTGGATAATGGTCGAGATCTGAGGATTATGTATAGGATAATGCATTTAGAGCGAGGCCATTATCCTTTTTAATGTTTACTCTCATTGTTTGCGAAGAAACGAAACCGTGTGTGTTGTTCGTGTTTTAGCATGCTAATTACCGCTTCCAGGCAAAATTCCAAAATTCTATACACTTAACGTAACCTCAACACGGTGTGCTCCATGACAACCTAAATTAAAAACCCTCCCGGCTTTTAAAATAAAGAATGCTTCAAAACAATGAGAGTATATATTAAAGTTCACGTATAAGTCGTGCACAAAACTCAGAAAGATCTTGAAGTCACTATTTGTGCTTAGTAGACATGTAATCTTATTCCTTGGCAGAATACTAAAAGCTCTAGTTTGTACTAGCGTACACTACCTCGGTGTCCAACAATCCACCGGTCCAGGACTTGGATCATCAGTTCGATATACTCCACGCCTCCTATACATTAGCAATGGTAAACAATGACTGTTCCAGTCCTCGGACCCGGTTGGTTGTGCTCCATGCCGCCTTCATTTTGATTCATACACCGAGTAGGCTTTGAAGTAGACCGTTCAGCGACATGCACTACGTTATTTGATCGCCCTTTATTGCAGCAGTTACAGCAATTCTTGCAAGAGTCTTTGCAGAAACACCTTAGACGATACGCGATGACGCCAACAACAATACCAATGATCGTCACTGCAATAGCTCCAATAGCTCCAGGGCTTAATTCATCTAAAAAATAAATAGATAAATAAATAGATAAATGGTAAACCGACGGACTGACGGACGTCGGATGGACGGATGGATGCACACATCACTCCACTCGCATTTTGATATTTACTGGGGGAGGAACTGGAGTTTCCAGAATTTGGTATAGAGTAATACATCAAAGAAACTCCGACAACGCGTCCCGGCCAGGAAGCCAGTCAAAGGCTGGTATCAGAAAACCAAAAAACATTGTACTAAAATAGATCATTATAAAGAATAGCTAGAGTGCTTGCACTTAAAGCGTGAAACAAATAGTACTAATTACTACTAAATASTRTTRWWYAWWYAATARGAAACAAAGGAATTTGTATAATTTATCACCTATTTTGTAGTATTTATATTTCACGCATTTAGTGCGAGCACTCTATCATAAACAATAGCTCATACTGACCTGATTTGTCCGTTGGCTCTAAAAGACAACGAAAAAAACTTTCCATGATTAAAAGTCAAGGTAACTTTTAGAAATTAAAAAAAAATTAACATTTACCTGTAAGCTGCTGTTGGAAATCGTCATCTGAGAAAAAAAAACAGTTATCAAAGACGCAAAAGAGTTTGAAGTGTATGCAGTGGAGTGTAATGAATTAAAAGCGATTTATTAAAATATTCAAACTTAATTTAACGAAATAGTATTTTCCTCTTTTATATGAGTTTAGAAGTAATTCGGTAAGAAAACTAATTGCCTGAGACTTGAGTTACCTTCAAACGATCGTCTGTCTGAAATATAAGAATGAAGTGGTTTTCAGTAAGAGATAAATTAAACACTCACTAAGCTAAGGATGGGGGGATATCTTTCAATTTCATACATAGGAAGAAATGAAATATGTAAACCCTAAAAAAATACCAAAACTCGTTATTTAAATACTCAGTTTTGTTTCTTCTATATTGGTTTTAATTTTCCGAGCTTTCGGACAAGCGCGCAATAGTTCAAATCAATTAACATACTGCGCGTGCATAGAAATTACACGAAAAATCAGGAGCGCAATTAAAACACAAAAGTTGAGAATTGGATTACAATAGAAAAGGATAAAATGTTAAGACCAGTTAATTTGTTAAAGAGTTCGTCCACTATTTTTTTCCCAAAATCCCACTAGAACTTACCATATTCACAGCATCTTCCAGTGAATCCGTCTTGACATTTACAATGTCCCATCAACGGTGTTCCTCCATTAAAGCAGTGCCGATTACAGGATCTTGTCTCACTCAATGTGTGATGACAAGTGCCTCCACAAGACTCAACTTCAATCTTCCATCTAACTCTTCTTTGTACTTCATTAATGCCACAGACATGAGAGCAATGGCTCCACATAGACCACTCGCTAAGCACACAGTCGTGAGCATGACAGGCAGGCCGCCGGGCACGTCTTCTTCTCCAACCTTCTCCTTGGGACGTGAACACTATTAATAACACTGCACCAACTAGCTTCATGAAGAACTGGATAAGGTACAATCAGTTATCTAGTCAAAGAGATCAAAGATCTGGTTATATGCCGAATGAAGAATTCAAAGAATATAAGTATGGGATGGGCCAACACAAACTGACTGACACGATGTCACGGTATGTGAATAATTATTATCGAAAACAGTTATTTTCTACAATTCAAAATAAACATTTCCTTATTGATGCCAAATAAATTCAAGGGAAATCAGCAAAATTACGCTTTGTATGATTAAAAAAGTAGCTGTGTAATATTTAATTTTTATTTTAATAAGAGTTTATTCTCATATATGTCAACTGATAAATTGTGACGGCCAGTAGTGACGTTCTATTCTTCATGATTTTAGTGCTCTATTTATTTCCTCGTTCTGGAATGAATACGATGGTTGCTATGCAACAAAAGTTCAAACATATATGATATTTGCACTGAGTCTGATCATTCAAAAGCCAAATTTCCTCGAAATATCAATGTAAATGCGACAAATAAAGAGTTAATTCAGCGATAGTTTTGTATACTATCATGGAATACGATAAACGAAGTACTTTATTACCATCATCACGTCATTTCAGTAGCAGAGTCTTGCTGGACTGACTGCGACAACACTCCAGTTCTGGCTGTTTTAGATTTGTTGCAGAATCAGAACTAAGCTTCGTTATTTATCGTGAGAATGATACCGTTCGTACAGACGTGGCTTAGGATGCTCAGTGGCATCTTGATAGAAAGGATTTGTACTTTGAATGGGTCCCAAAACGAAATACATTCACAGAACAAGAAAATTAAGACTGCCATATTTTCTGTCTGTATCACGATGAAGTTTGACGACTAACACTTTGAGTGTTTTCGGCTTGGTATTCTTTTACATTATATGTTCTGTACACTTACCCGATAGATGCAGCACTCACTAGTCGGCGCATCAAACATGTCGTCATGTCCAACGCTGAAGGTTACGTACTGAGCATGCGTNCTTATTGAAATACGATCTAGTCCGCATTGCAAAGACTTTGTTTCCACAAACTCGAAATTTGGACTCTGGAATGCTCGATCTATGGTTTCTAAAGTGTCTGCAATTTGTGACTTCATTATATCTGAAAGACTCAGCTTGCTAGCTCTCACAGAAACTTGGCTCAAAGGTGACTCACGCGATGACTCTACGCTTGCTACTCTTTCCTCGACACTTCCTGATTATCAAATCATGCATCTTCCTCGATCTAGTAAAGGTGGTGGCGTTGCTATAGTGTATCACAACGGTTACMAGACAATCCAAAACGATCAAYGTCGATTCTCGTCCTTTGAGTACCTCGATCTCTCTTTAACGTCCAAGTCTACGTCAATACGCTTTGTCGACATCTACCGTCCTCCACCTGGWAGCAACTCTTCAACCGCAACATTTATTTCAGAACTGTCATCCCTAATTGAAGAATTGATTATYTTCCCTGGTCGGTTTATTATTGTTGGTGACTTTAATTTGCATGTCGATGTCCAGGATAATGGTTTTGCCTTACAATTCTTGGATATGCTGAATGACTTTGGCCTAAAACAGCATGTGGTTTCACCGACACACAACCGAGGCCACACTTTAGACCTTGTAATTACTAGAATCACCGAAGAATTTGTTACAGGATTAAATACTACCTTTTCTCTACCGTCAGATCATGCTGCTGTAACTTTCTACTATTCCATTCCWCGTCCTCCGCCWACCAAAATCAAGGTTAATCATCGCAAACTTCAAGACATTGACATTGCTGCTTTAAATAAGGACATCTTGGGCCTACCTATTGCCTCGTCAACATCATCTGACATTGACAATCTTGTTAGTCAGTATAATTTGCAATTGAGCTCTCTGCTTGATTCCTACGCTCCTGCCTCTWCGCGTATGGTCACATTGCGTCCACATGCTCCTTGGTTCAACAGTATGCTCCGAGATGAAAAGAAGCTGAAACGCAAGCTCGAACGGAAATGGAGATCCACTGGTTTAGAAGTTCATCGTCAGATGTTTACAAACCAGTGTTGTAAGTACCAAGATCTACTCAAGGCTGCTAAAGAATGTTACTATAGAACTAGAATTAACAATTGTGATGACAGTAAGTTGTTCTTCGAAGTTAACAAGATTGTTAAGTCTTCAAGCAGTTGTCTGCTYCCTTCCTTCGATRATGCTTATGCCATGGCCAAGAAATTTGCTGTCTTCTTCAATMATAAGATTGWTAATCTTTTGGAGTCACTGGGAGAATGTACTACTTCCTTCAGAAGTCTGGAAAAGTCTGGTTCTTCGTGTCTCTTGGAATTTGTTCCCGTTTCCTCCGAGTCTGTTGAGAAGATTATGAAAATGTCTTCGTCCAAGTCCTGTTCCTTGGATCCCATTCCAGCATGCATAATCAATGGTTGTTCTTCTGGCCTAGCTGGCCCTATCTCGAAGATTATCAATGTTTCCTTGACAACAGGAAGTGTTCCTTCTGTGCTTAAAGTTGCTAAAGTCACTCCTTGCCTAAAGAAAAAGACACTTGACAAGGAAGATCTCAAGAATTACCGCCCCATTTCCAACTTGCCTTACCTGTCGAAGTGCTTGGAGCGTGTAGTTTCCTGTCAATTACAGCAATATCTTTACGCTAATGACTTGTTCTCATCGATGCAGTCAGCATATAGGCAGAACTTTAGTACTGAAACAGCCCTCCTACGAGTACAGAATGACATCCTCATGGCTCTTGACCGTGGTGACGAGGTACTTCTTATCTTGCTGGATTACTCCTCGGCATTCGACACCATTGATCACTCCACTCTTCTCTGGCGGTTGGAAAACCGCTTTGGTGTCAAGGGTGYGGCTCTCTCCTGGTTCCGTTCTTACCTGGAAGGCAGATATCAATTTGTCAGTGTCAATGGTTCGAATTCACCATCGTTGGCTTTAAAGAAGGGTGTGCCTCAAGGATCTGTGCTTGGCCCCCTTTTGTTCACTCTCTACATTTCGCCGATTGAAGATATYATACTGTCTCGTGGCATTGACTGCATGTTCTACGCTGACGACTCACAATTGTATGTAGTCATTAGCAAGGGTGCTCAGCCATCTTCCAAGGTTACTCC